CCTAATTCTTACTATCAAGTTGGCCATCAGAAAGACGGCACCAACTTATTTTTCCACCAGTAGGATATGAGTGTAAACCTCTCCCAACACCTTCACTGAGGGGATTTTTTTCTTACTTTTTTTCCCCAGTTCCACAAATGGCAAATGGTACCTCATTTCAGTTTACGTATCTTTGACATTAGTAATGTCATAAATACTATTCATGTGTTTGTTGATCATTTTTATTTCTTTTGTGAATTATCTTTACGTTTTCTTAGCTGGCTAGGTCCTTTTAAACACATACAATTTAAGCAGAGTTGATTAACTGTTGGTTAGTAGAAGGCTTGAACAGACCGCTCTAAGAGCAACGACTGAGAATGCCTGTTTATCAAGGGTTTTGTTGTTCATGAAGAACTTCCTCATACATAACCACATTTTATTCTCCCTATGACATTGTTTGCTGTAGCATTAGACAGGTCTGTCTGGATGTGTTTTTGCACAATATACAATACTTTGTGTAGCAGGTGCTCAAAAAAGAGAGGATAAGTTGACCTTTTCTCTGTTTTGTCTCTAAGAACAATAGCACAATAAGATTACAGTACATTAAGCCTTTTCTTTTTTTGTCCTAAACTCTGAAAATTAACAGCACATATGGCCTTAACATCACTAAGCTCTGTAAAATAAACAAAAGACTGCTTCTTGGAGGGAGGCGTTTCAATGGTCCTTTCCCGTAGGAGGGGATTACAGGTCTGAAGATCACAGGAAGGGCAGAGGCCCACGTCCAGGAGCCTCTGTCATTATCAGAAGACTCAGTCTCATCCCTCTTCCATTATTTTTCCCTCATTTTCCCTCTTAAACAGATCTACTTGGAGAGCTGAAGCCCAGACGAATCAGAGTGAGTACCAGGAGCTCCTTCCCTACATCTTTCCTCCCCAGCCCCATCTCTTAGTCTGCCAGGGATTTTAACCAAAAACCAACGTGAACTATTCTAATCCCAAACCGTACTCTGTGTTTTTTCTTTTTAATTTTACTTTTTTTTTTTTCTGATTATGAACATTGTTATATGGCTAATGGACACAAAGAATGAGTACATTTTATAATGACAAATATGCCAACTATCTTGATTTGATCATCACATATTGTACACA